AGTGCTCGAAGCGTTGCTGAAAAGAACGAATAGATCTCCCCTCCCTCTCTTGTCGACTTTCTCTCTCTTCGCGGCCTTTGCCTCTCCCTTTTTCCCTCTGTTCTCCCTTTCTCGTTCGCTCCCTCTCTCTTCCTCCCTCATTCTCTCCCGGCTCCTCTCTCGTTTCATCCTTTACTCTCGTTTTCTCTTTCCCCGTTCGTTTGCCTCTCACTGCAATTAGGGAATTGCCCCGGGTATTTTCGTATTCATCGCAATGCAACCACCGCTGACGTGCACCGTCGCGGCGGTAAAGGTGCGCAATGGGTTATTTTCCATACATTGTTCGCGAAAATGTGGCGCTCGAATTCCGCTGAAGGGCTGAACGCGGCCGGTGCGGTTATTACTGGACCGGCCGTAATCGGGATGTGATCGCTCGGCTTTCGCAACATTCGCCGGCTCATTGTCGTGACGTGGGAGCGCGTAATGCTTCCGCACGGCGCGCAACGTGAATTCGGCGAGCCCGCGCGAAGACGTCCTCCCGACGCGACGTCATCGCGACGGAAGTGCGTGTGAGTCGCGACGACGATCGAGACGTCACCGGGACGAGACATAGGTACGCTATTCTTCTCTCTCTCTCTCGTTTTTTCTCGTTTCTTCCATTTCTCCTGCGTTGCCCGACGATGATTCTTTTACTTCCGATGAGCCAACCGACTTTTTCTTCGGCACCCGAGGCGTCAGTGGTGAGACGCCCGCGAAAAATGGACGTGCGCTCAGGTACTTCATTAATATTTCATTTCGTTGCTTATCGTTACTACGGTGCCGCGCCGCGGAGGCCCGCTTCGGGGCATCGTTACTCCCTCCAAGCGAGCGTGCACCGGGAGAGAGAACGCAACAGAGGAGGTGGATGAGGAGGAGGAAGTGGTGGTAGCGGCGACGGTGGTGCTAGGTTGGGGAGGTAAAAGCGGGGCGGTGAAGGATGCCGAAGAACGCTTTATTGCAATTGGGGTGACATTCTAGGAATTTTACGTCGTGGAAACACGACAGAAACAGCCGCGCAGATTTAGAGGGAAGTAATGAGACGCGCCCGGGGTACACCGACAGAGAGAGAGAAAGGCCGCCCGCGGAAAACGATTCACGCGGTAATCCGCCAGCATTTAGATATGAGATCGTAACGAGGAAACCGTCGAGAGAACCACGAGAGCGGACGATTAAAGCGACCACGTTACTCGACAGGCAGACACGTCGAAAAACTAAGACCGCGTCCCCGTTCCTCGCTTCTCGTGAAATTAAAATTATTTGTTTTACGCGTTACTTAAATCGACTCATAAAATCGACCGACTCTAACTTCGCCGGATAACACGTCCGAAGGTAACTACTATGTGCGTGATTCTAAGTAGGAAATAACTGCTGGCGAGCTGCCGATTTTTAGTGAACGGTATAGATGTCAATATTGATTTAATACTGGCGGAATATTAGGTATTATTGTATACAATTATTATTGTATACAATTGTATATATTGTATATATGATACTATAATACAGTATATAATATTAAACGATTTAGTTGCAACAACCAAAGAATTTAGTTGAGACTATTTAATCAGATTTTGGTAATTGTTACTAAATTCTTCTTTCAATAATATACAGGCAACCGTTCTTACTACTGCCGAACTATTTAGGTTTCCCGTTAGTGAGAGAGAGAGAGAGAGATAGAGAGATATCGCTTTCTTACTTAAGGCATTGCTATCGGTCGTCGGTACTGGCCAAATCTATACGATTCCTACGTGGGATCTTAAATAAAGAAAGAAGAAGGGAGAAAAAAATATATAAATAAAATAGTAATATAAATAATAAATTCTGTTGATGTCTAATCGTTAATAATACTTATGGGCCAATAAAAGCTTAAGCACGATTAGCGTGCAATTTAATTAAATAATTGACAGATGTAATCATTTCTTAAATAAGTATTAGTTGGAAAAAGAATTAGAAAGGAGGAACTAGAAAAAGAAAGCGAATCCATGCGCCTATGCGTGCATCTCACGGAATAATTTCAGTATCACCGAAAGTTCGTGTAAATAGCGGACGAAAAGCGCAGAGCAAGAGAGAGAGAGAGAGAGAGAGAGAACGAACCAGAAGACGGTTCGGCGGAGAAGAAAGCGAAGAGGAGAAAGAGAAGAAGAAGAGGAAGAAGAGGGGGCAGGAGGACAAGCCGGTGGAAGAGGGGCGGAGGGGAGGTAGAGGAGCGAGACGGAAGAGCGAAGAATCGCCAGAGGCCAGGACGGAAAGAGGGAGCAGAAAACGAGGGAGAACTACGGTCTGCCTTGGAGTCGCCCGAGGCGTCACGGAGCGCATTGTCTCGCTGGATATCCTCGGGGCGATATAGGTTCCTCTCTCTTTGCCCCTCGCCCACTCGCACATTCTCTCTCTCTCTCTCTCTCTCTTTCCCTCTCTCCGTTCCCTTCGGCCCACCTTCCACTTCGCCCTTCGACCACCTCTCTCACTAGGACACGGAGCTGGAGAGGACGAAGCTCACCGCTATCTCCTCTCGTTTCCGCGCCCGCAGCGGAACGACCGTGCGCCTCCGCCGCGCCACCACTTCATGGTGGGGTGCAGCACCGCGCGTCTACCCCCGGGGGCACCTTCTGCACAACGATAGGAACGAACGTACGGGAGAAAGAGAGGGGAAGAGAGAGAGAGAGAGAGATGGCGGGAGGAAGAAAGGCGAGGACGGGCGTCCTTCTTCTCCCACGCCGCGCGATCCCGCGCCGCGGGCTAGCCGAAACGACTCGCCCTCTACGCACACGTATATGTGTGTGGGTGTGTGTGTGTGTGTGCGAACGAGTGTGGGTGTATCTGTATGTGCGAGCAGCGCGTGTAGGTGAATGCGCGCGTGCATGCGTGCGTGCATGCATGCGGGTACAGCCGCATCGACGGCATTTGCCTGCATCGCTCGCGGCGGGGCGTGCCACCCCTTCTTCTTGTTCTTCTTCTCCCCTTCGTCCTCCTCCTCCTCGTCTTCGTACTTCTCTCCTTCTTCGTCTTCTTGAACTTCGCATTCTACTTGCGCTTGATGGCATCATTTATCGTAAGAAAAATAATGAGATTAGGATAATCTACCACCGCGGGCGTTTTCCGCCGCGCTTCGCGAAATTTACTTTCAAACTTCTTCGCCGGTACTTTCCGTTTCGCTCTCTCTCTCTCTCTCTCTTTGTCTCTCGCGTTCTCGCTCGCTCGCTTGCTCGGAGCGTTCGCCCGCTCGCTCGCGCGAAAGATAATATGTTATCGCCGTTTCGCTATCGCGCTCTCGTTGAGTCTCCGCCGCGCTTCTTCGTATCTTGGAACGAGCGGCATCCCCCGAGGGTGTCCTTCTCGCTTCGCGCCCGTGGCGGTCGAGCCGCGTGGTAGAAGGGATGCGTTTCTCTCTCTCTCTCTCTCTCTCTCCCTCTTCTCTTGTTCTACTCGCGTAATATTATGCGCTTTCATCCCCAGGCCGAAACGCCGCGCGCGTGTACTTGTGTAAGTGCGCGCACCGTCTCATATTGGCATCTGCCCGTATCGCTTCCGGCGACGTGCGCTTTTTCTTCCTCTTCTTCGTCCTCTTCCCCTCCTCCTTCTCCTACGTCTTTTCCGCCGCTTCTTCATCCGCGCATATTTTTCAATTGCGCGAGTTACGAGAGGGGAAATAGCCGGGTGGAAATGAGAACAGCAGTATCGCACACGCGGTGTCAACGAATCCGCGCGATTCACCGACGCGCCCGCTCTCTTTGGCTCGTCTCATCGCTTGATTACATTGTTTGTTCGTTATGTAACATCCAGTGTACCGTGTAACTTTGAAAGCACGGGACTGCCTTCTCACTTTTTTTTTTCGCTACAACGAAACGTCGCGCAATTCCGTCACTCGAATAATTTTTTACAATATAATACGTATAATAATACGTATTACATAAGTGCATACACACACACACACACACACACACAGACACACACATGTATATTATACAAAATGATTCATTTTAATTTCAGGCAAATATTTCGAAAAATATGGTAGATATGGGAAAATGTTTCAGTTAAATGTTATAAAATTTGAAGAGGGGCATATGTCTTCTTGCATTGAGTTTAATTTCGGAGAAATTCATTTATTGGCGATTAATCACTGAAGCAACGAAAAGTGTCGATCGTTCGCGAGCGTAACGAGACGCAGACATGTTGCCATCGTTTCGCACAATTTACGGTGCTGCTTCTCTCTCTCTCTCTCTCTTTCTTTCTTTCTTCCTTTCTTCTCTTCAGAACACGATCCGACCCTGATCGTTGAGGGCTAACCAATACAGTTTTGTATGTAGGCGCACAGATATACGCGTATTATCCTACGTTCGGGCTGCATCGCCCATGGCGAGGAGTACCCGACCCTCCTTTCTCCTCTTCTCTTTTTCCTTCACTCCCCGCACCCGGCATCGTCCTTTTCCTCTCGGCCGCTTCTCTTGTTCCTTGACCGACCTCTTGTCAACCGCCTTCGGTTCGCCTTCGCTTCGGGCGAACTTTTCTTTCCGGATAAAACTTCACACAGTATATTCCGCGCTGCCCTCTCTTTACCCATGTTTTCTTACTTTCTCACCCCCTTACCGGATTCCCCCTACGAAATTATCATTATTCGGCCGGCGTAGGAAGGATGCAGTGCCGAAAACGAGATAGCTTCCGATCCTCGTCGAGCAATCGAGCCAACGGAAACTTGATTTATTCGGGTTAACGCGGATTATACATCTTTCGGTAAGCTCGTCTTCCAATCTGTCAATTTAGTTAATTTAATCATCGCGCGATTTAATCGAATTTGCTTCGTGGGTGAGCCGTCGCGAAAGATTTCAACGGTCGGTTGGACAATCACGCGTTGTTGTCGATAAAATGCTCGAGATATTGCGCGGATAACGATCGTAATGCTATCGATCGAGGATCAGATACGAAATCGGCGATCTCGAGAATAGGTCTAGAAGAGGATAGACGGAGAACAGATGAAGAGAGAAACACGATTTCGGTAACTACAACGCCATGAGAGAATTTTATTAAAAATATTTAAAGCTCAATTACACCGCAGACGTAGCTGCGATCGCACTTAAAGTCGTAATACATATCATAATCGTTGCACGGTGCGCGTACAAGTCGCTTACTTCGGGAACAACACACAACACGTCGGCAGAATTCATTGAAATTGACACGCGCACCGTCGGCTTCGTCGTTGCGTCCCTTCGGTTCTCCCGTTAAAACTCGCGAAACTTCCAAACGTTTTCACGTGGCGATAATTTGTACTTTGCAAGTGAAGTTTATCTTGACAACATGCCACCGTGTGCGCAATTTTGTCCATAATTAATTTGCATTCTCACATTCGATGCGCATTATTCCCCCGTGAGATATTTTCTCCGGATATTTTACGCAGACTTTTTGAAACGATTCCTCTCTCGGCCGGCGTTACAATAATGCATTGTGCGCGCGTGCGAGATTATATTAATAATTGCGAGCGGAATTATCATCATCATAATTACAAATCCAATTAAGTCTTCTTGCATTTGTACGGTAATGTGATATATCAAAGGTGGATGTGAATCAACTCTTCCGAGAGAGGAACGCATTTTCCAGCGGAAAATCCAGACAACAATGCGCGGCTCTTCGACCGTTGTCTGTTGTGAAACTGAATGGAAAGACTTCTTCTCGATATTCTAAACTACGATTAAATTATATTAGGATCCCGTTTTGTCGTTAATCGGAGTGAGATTATGCTTCGGCCTGGCGCCGCTGGTGTCTCGGCCGCTGTGATCCTTTAAACCAGAACGCAGCAGACTTGGCCCTCGCAGTCGACGGCATTCTGTTGCAGAACGGGGGCGCAACGGTTCATGCACACTCCGCCGAAATGACGGCAATGAGTTTGGTACTCCTTTTTAACTGCAAAGGCAAGCAAATTCATCTTAGGAGAGAGACACTCGCGAACGCGCGACTTCTTTCGCGTTCGACGCGTGAATTATTCCCGGTCGGAAAACGCAACGCGACAAGGTGAATTCCGCGAGCTCGCCGTACCGACACCGCCGACTACCGTGGGAGATTAGAGCGTTGAATTACCGTACGGAGGACAAAATCACGCTCTTAAGTGTCGCAATAAGACACCTTGACTCCGTCGTTTTTGATAGAAATGCTATCGAGAAAGTTATTTTATACCTCACGACGGAGACTATTTTCTCACAAAGTGATCGTTTCTTTTAATCTAATTTAATTAATCCTTGGTATATTATACAGAGAGAAAAAGATTTTTTTTTAGATCTAACGCACTGCAAATCTAAGTGTGTTATTTCAACTGGGGCTTGTCTTACACATTCGTTTTCGCCGGTTTTTATGATCATTTAATACGATTGAATGTACACGTTAACGTGTAATTTAATCCGATCAAACGTTTCAAATGAAGTAACCTGAAACGACGAGAGACCTTTTCAAAGGGTTTCGGTCGAATGTGTCTTTTTAATGTTTGTGCGTGTAAAGATAACATATTTGGATTTGCAGTGTATACATGTTTGTTTGACTCTTGGGTTTGCTTAATATAACCAACAAAATTTAATATCAAATGTCATTTTGTTTGAATGAAAACGTTGTATCACTAGAATAAACCATGTTGTCTGATAGAAAGGAACAATATTTTCTAGAGGAAATAATGTTTGGTTTTCGCAATGAAAGAAGAATTTATTTCATTATGTATTAAATATTATTTCACCGAAACAAAAAGAAGTTCTTTGATATTTTCCTAACATAGTGTTATTTCTTTCAAACAATTTATTACTTGCGACGACCATTGTAATGTTTGGATAAAAATATAAAAGAAATATATTATTTAACGTAAAGAAGGAGATTTATTTATTGTTTGAGAGAAACCAAGCTATCCTATTTGTTGAATCAAACATTCGTTTATTTGCTGTGTTCCAAGGGAGAAATTTGTTTCAATTACAGAAATTTTATTATTTAAATCCAAAGAAATCTTTTTCTTCGTGTATTATATGATAACTGCGCTGCAAAGCAGTGTTGTGTCGCATATTAGAGTAACTAGCCAGAGAATCTTCGTTTCCGTTCGTTCGATCGCACGTATGTCTATTGTCCCGCTTAATCGCCTGATAAATTTATCACACATGTTACATCACGCGAGTCTCGAGAGGTCAATGCGAATGAAATCTCCGTAATATCGAACCGTTTGAATACACGGAATGTATTCGAAGCACCGAGTTGATAGCGCTCTCCACGGTAAACACAATAGTGAGTTCCGAATCCCGAAGTTTCAATCAAAGCGATACACAAGGAATAAGCTACTCTTGAATCTTCCATCGGTTCCGTAACTGAAATATTAATCTTAATGGCGCAGAGGATCCTCCGTGGTCACGTCGATGTTGCACAACAAATAATTAAAACCTCTCAAAAGGAGACTCGAGACTTGGGACACTTTAGCATACTTAATCACTGCGCGATTGAATCGAGTCTTCTTGACGAGCGAATTTGAATCATCGATTACAGGATGACGCGTCACTGCCGATAAACTATTCACGATATCACGCGGATATTACGACGACATATATGACGTTGCGCGAATACTTTTCCCGTTTGACAGCCGGATCGGTTCGAGTCGATTTCGGCGCGAAGAGCGAAGTAGCTCACCTATGCTGCAGCACGTGGTGCCCTGTTCAAGGCATTGAACATTTAGACTCTTCACATGCTCCTCGCACCTGTCAGGGGTGAGACAATTCTCCTGGGGACACAGCTCCATCGCGCTGACATACTCTAAAAATAGATTCGCGAGATTGTATCTCGATGTCTTGCGGATTTTCCTCGTTGCGCCGCGAATCGGAGACTACCGCCGGCGGCATTGAAAAGGAACGCGCGCAGAAAAAAAAAATCTTGAATCAATAATAGATATTCTCATATGTAAGCAAGAATGTTATAATATTTTTCGATTTTCAGTCGTGAATTGAGCGCAAATTATACTTGCATCAATACAAATTTAATCGAATCAAGGCTAATAGTTTTCTAATAAAATTAGAATATTCTTGTTTATACATGAGAATATCTAGTTTCGATTTAAAACTAATTTATTTTCTGTGACTTTCCGCCCTACGCGTTAATTTCACGACGAGCCGGGCATTATCTCGGTTTTAAAGCGAGTTTAAATATTAGACATTAGCTGATAAAGTTGAACCTTCAACGGTTAGCTTAAGATAAGCGTTGCATTGAAACCGCTGTACAAAGGTACGAAAAAAGAAATAAAGGCACGATAGTATAATGTTATTACTGGGCAAATTTCAATTTGCTTCGATATGCGAGCACCTACGAAAAATTATTGCCATGCGGTGCGGTGTAGAATGAAAGAGAAAGAGAGGAGGGCAAAAAGAAATTTATTAACGGAAAATATAAAAACAGCAGAGAGCCAGTAACGAGAAAGTTAATTGGATCGTTTGACGAAACAGCGAATATATATTTCAGGTGGAGTCTATTGATATTTCAAACTTTGCACTTCCTAAATTCCTTGAAATGAAATTTTACTCGAAAAATAAAACGACGACAGCGGGATCATTTCGAGTCACTCGAGTTCGATTGATTTTTTACTCATGATGATCGACTTATAATATGAGTGAAAAATCACTCGTATAGGCTGAATTCTCCGCTCTGAACTGTCAAGTGAATTTTCCGCTCTGAATTGTCGAGTGGATTCTCCGCTTTGAATTGTCGAGTGAATATTTTCAGCGAATGTTTCCAGTTTTCACTGAAAAGCGAATCTAACGTGTTTCGTCGCAGGAACAGTTTCAGTCCGATCGATTGAAACATTCACTCGTATGGCGTTTGAATATACTCTAAACTCGAGTGAATTTTCATTCGTTTCCAGTTAAAATTTCACACGGACAAATTCATAGAGAGCGAGAAAAGAAACCGATGCGACGGACAATTATTAACTTCACGCGTTGAAGAATTATTTAATTAAATTTAATTATTTATTATATTTGAGAAAATCAAATATTTCTTTAGAAAATAAGAAAGAGGACACGAAATATTGGCAGAATCTCGTTTGAGTTTAATCTCATACGCGGACAAAATCGTTGACGTATCGGCGTCGTAAATTTTCAATTCCGTGAAGTATTAATTATGCAATAATAAGTGGTGAGAAATAATTATATAAAGTGTCGAAGTATGACTTACCGGCGCAAAGGAGGACAGCCGCGAGGGCGACGAAGACGAGCGTGCAGGTTCTCATTTTCTCGGCGGTGTGTTTTCGAAGTAGCTCGCGGTGATGCTGACAGCCGACGATGGTTCACTGATGTCACTTCGCCGGGGCCCTGCCGCTATATAAATGTAAGCGGCCGACGTTACGCGACACGCACACACGCACACCGAGCCGCGCGCGCAAGCCTCGTATCGCGACCAACGTTGACATTATCAGTCGTTATGCGATGTTAGATAATACTCGTGCCCACCTTCGTGAGTCACACGTGAGATAATCGATAATCTCGCACGATCTCGCGTCTGGAATAGCAAGAGCTGCGGCGAGATGTATCTCGAGGACTCTTGAATTCGTCGATCGTGCCGGAGCATCTCTGAGGGTGACGAATAATTTTTCACGATTCTTCGGTAGGAACGACAGTGCAAATAATAGCGTGAAAAATTGGAAATAAAGGAAACAAGGCTCTTTTGATGCACAATCAAAAAAGAATGGGGAAAAGCCAATAAGAGCTTGTGCGTGGAAATATGGAAAAAAAGAAGTAGCTTCCATAGCTAAAAACTAGCTCTTACAGGTCAAAATTAGCTATGATATAACTGAAATTTAGTTAATTTAGCTGGTTCTTTTATTTATTCTAGTAGCACAATTAAGTGGCAATACATCTAATATTTCTAATATTTGTTATGTATATATATTCGCATGCATTGATGTGATTGTATTGGATATATGGAATGAGTGTTGCGCAATATAAAGCCAAATCTGCAGAAGCAGATTTTGCAGTATCTGCTATAAATTTTGTCGATAGCTTACTAGCAGAAATATAATAGGATTCGCTAGCAGAACCTGATAATAAGTTAATCTGTTATTATGCTCTGCTAACAAATCCTGTTATACTTCTGCTAACAAATTGTCGGAAAAATTTTTAGCAGATATTACGCAACATTTGCTTTCACAGATTTAGTTGTCTGGCTGACTTTATATTAGGTAATATTCATTCAATGTATCTTCAATGAATGCCAATATAACCAATATTGAACCAATGTATCGCCAATGAATTGTGCTACTATGATAGTTTTTAACTCTCACCGCTAAAAACTAGGTCTAGTAATTAAATTAAATTTGTTTATTGTAGCTAATTTCTCTTTTCCGTATATGTAGTGCAATTATGAACAAACACAAGCGAAAGTATGTTGGTTGAAATATCTGATATGGTCAGGATATTTGTAAAAGGAAAAGTACCATTCGATATTCAAATATATCTTTTGTGCGCTGATTTAAATCCGTCTCGTAGAGTGACATGATTGATAGGTGACCCGATGAGTATTGGACGAATGAAATTATACGTTTCTTTTTTCCATCTCTTTCTCTTCGTTTGTTTTCCTTCCCTTGATTGGATTTTATAATGTTTCGGGTCTTTGACTGTCGGTAATTCGAGCGAAGCCCGAACCGCTCGCGTGAAAGGCGCGGTACCAGCATCGCGATAGTTTCGTGTGTTTTCGCAATATACATGGAGAAAAGAAATTGGTTGAATTAATGTGACAGTGAACGAACCGCGTTTTGACTGAAAGAAACGGAATTTCTGACTTTAAGAACCGAATTTAGTTCATAGGAACTATCAATTCTATTTCCGTCAACGAAGACGCATTCGTTCGTCGTCACGTTAATTCAACCAAACTTTTTTTTCCGTGTATTAGTACGAGTAGAAGATACGTCTTCTTTTTCCGTCTCTGTCTATTCTTTTCTCTTTTATTCTGTTGATGAAATTTTATTTTATTTTTTTTATTTCGGGCCTTTTTATTTCGGGACTGTTAGTAACTCAAGTGAGGCTTGAACCGTTCGTGTGAAATCTGCGGTACCAGCATCGCGATAGTTTCGCGCGCTTTCGCAATATACTAGTACAATTGACTGGCGATAACAGTCGAAAGTTCGTTAAAACAATTGTGCCATGATAAAAAGAATTCATTATAATGCAAAAGACTATGTCCTCTAGGTAATTGTGCAATTGGACTTGAAACTGGACTTGAAACTCTCTTCGAGCTCTCTCTTTCTCTTTCTGTCTATCTATCTTTTCATACAATTTTAATGCATAGCCTTCCATGTAAAACGGGTATCGAAAGTAGATACGACTAAGTAGATATCGACTTGATCGAAAGTAGATATTGGAACAATATCTCTCGATATCTGAATTGTTAATGGCGCTTTAAACATCTTCTCATGGAAAAGCATTTGTGTCAATTTTGTGGGAGAAAAAAATATGTTTATCGCGTATACGAATCTCGCGAGGTTACATCGGGGATTCGAGAACGAGAATCTTTCAAAGTTATATCTTATCACACCATTAATATTGCGAGAGCAATTATCGTATTTCATATCAGAATAAATAATATACGATTATATCGGAAAATTACCGATCAGAAGAGGTGACTTTCAACGGGTAATTCTCATTTACGACGAATGTTTCAAAATTGATCTACTTATCTGCATGCACGCGAAGTTGTATTAAAATTAAAATTTCCAGACATGCGGGGTTTCCCCGTTAGTATCAAACGATCGTATGTTTAAAGCTCAATGCGCAGTCAAATGGACATTAATGCGTGCTGTTTTCTCACTATTTTGTGCAATCACTACTCTCTAAATTTCGTAGAGTGAATTCTAGATTAAAGCAGTAGTATTTTCATTCGCTTGAAGTGAATTTTCACTCGTTTGGAGTAAAAACTCATTCTAAGTGAGTGAAAATATTGCCACTCTAACCTAGAACTCGCTCCAAGAAATTTAGAAATAATTTATAACTTAAAATTTATAATTTATAACTTAAAAAACCGGTTTTTAATTGCTGGAAAAAAAATCGGTTTCTCACGAAAAATTGTTTTTTTTTTTACTGAAAATTGCTTTTTTTGGCCACTTAAATTTTTGTATATTGGTATATCAATGCATCTGCAAAATGCAATGGAATTTTGTTTAAGACTTCTCTATGTTTTTCTTACAACAATCGATTTTACTTGTAATTCTACGCATAAAAGTATTAAGGTGAGATTGTCGAAAAATGAATAGTTTATGAAATATTTCATGTTTTGTATTGAAAAGTATCAGAATAAAATGTAAAATATCTCGGAAAATATATTTTACTCCAGTACTTTCATACGTAGAATGACCAGAGGAATCAATTTATATTAAAAACACCATATGATTTCATTAAAAAAAAATTAAAGTTGACCTTGAAATAATGTTTAATAATGTAATAATATTACCATTTTATGCTTCCCACGAAATGCTACAACTTTTGTATGAAATTTTTCGTCTAATAGTATACCTCTTTCGAAATATTAATCTGTAACATTTTTTACGGGTCGCTCGGTAGTTATTTCTTATTAACATGGATTTAAAAAAATTATGCGTACTCTGATATAACGTTATATTATATATTATATATTACATATTTGTTCACAATGTACTCGGTTGTAATTCTTTGAAGGTAATATGTTATTGCTTAACATATAACATATTAACTTCATTTAACTTTAGTTAAGTGCACGCAATTACCTTTTTTACGGAAAGATGTAAATGTGGTAGATTTTAACCGAACACACGTACATTTTACTGAACAAATGTTTCTACCCTTGAAAAAGAAACAATCTGGGAAATGGAAAAAAACCGGGTTTTTTCCAAACTTTTAAAGAGCAATGAACCAGGCAAATACTTCATCGGCGAGATAATCAAATTACATCAGGCGATATAGTACAATCGGTCACATTAGAGAAGTCTCCGTGTCCTTGCTTGCATCGAAAATATGAACGTAATAGGACTTGTTGAACGGAGGGGGAATATCTGTAGTGACTTTCTTTGGAGAGGAGCTAAACCTGGAGGGTGGGGAGAACTTTTCATTGCCCCGCGTCCCGGCACGTTGTTTTCTCCGTATAAGAAATCGATCCACTATCGAGCACTCCACGAGCCGAGATTGCCGTTGCGCGATTTAGATCGATATCGAGCTTGCTTTTTCACAACTGATACTCATAAATTAACAAACAATTATGTCGATAAGATCTGTCTGGCAACCTGTTTGTCCGATTCACGCCTGGATATAGTGAGGGTCAGAACGTTCAGAACGTTACTCTGTCCCAAATTTATTCTCTTATTCCATCATCGCATGTCTGCGAATTGTCGCACATATTTCGTAGCGACACACGAATCAATTACAGGACGAAAAAGAAGATACGTCGAATTACAATACATGCATCGTGTTAAAATTACAATATAATCTCGCGAACGATTAATACACTACGAGTATTCGCCATTGACAAATCGAAAGCATAAATCAATCATTTTTTCTTGTTTTCCTTTTTCTCTCATTTCGTTTCTCACGCGAGATTTTTCATTTTCACGCCGCTCGTTCAAGTGTCCGCGCGCGCAACAATCGAAAAAATCTAACAAGCGTGTGGCGTTGTTTAAATTTTTATTGATTCCTTCCAAAGCATTATACTCGCCATTAAGATGTTCTTTAACATCTCTCTGCTCTTGATTGTAAATAAAAATAAGTGGGAGATATGTGCGTTCGTGTTACGTCCTCGGGAAGAACATACGCGAAAACTCGACGCGTCTTGTAACGCATTACAGTTTCTCAACGGAAAAAGGACACGAGATGGAGAGAATGATAAGTACTCGCTACTGATGGGCACTCGAAATGTACAAGTTTCGACTAAGTTCGAAATTTTTAGGGCGTGGTAAAGACGGTCAAGCTATGAACGAAATCATCTCGCGCTCGCGCTCGAGCTGACACACCTGTGTGTGTGTATACCTTTTCTTCTCTTCTCTCTTTTACCGACTAAACATCTATTTTCTCCGAGATATCGCTCGCGAGAAGGGCCTAGTTTTTGCTGTACTTTTTGTCCACGGATACTTTTTCTCCTCTTTACACTTGGAGGCAATTAATCCACTGCGGTTGCGAATTAAGCTGGAAAACAGTTACAATTAAGCGTTGTTCCGCGCGTTTCCCGCGGAGAACCGCGCCAGCGAGGAAGAGTCTGAGATAGAGTAAAAGTTTCCCGTACACGGAGAGAGAATATTATAGCTTTTTTGTTCATCTCCAAATTCTTCTCACGTTCTTACCGTGTTTCCTGATGACACAGGAGTGGATTATTATCGGTAGAGCTTAACTTGCTGAGAAATACGGTAAATTTTGTTAAGAAACTTAATGAATTTTTCAATAATAAATTCTTTTAACAAGTAAATTTAAATAGTAAATTTTTTTAATATTATTATTTCAGCTCCTAAAATATATAAAAAATATATAAATTTATAAAAACATTGCACACGCGCGTATATAACGGAAGGATAATAAATGAAGGCAGAATGTCGCTATATTCTTCAGCTGTAAAATTCTATGGTAATTTTTTCTATAAATCAAAAATATAAGAGAAAGTACGATGAGAGTCAATTGCAGATCTAATTTGCATACACGGCAAAAAATTGTTTGTTAAATTTAAGTTTCATCGAAACAGTCCGAAATAGCCTATACAAATTTTTGTGTTAATTTAACACAAGGTGAATATGTAGAAAAGCAGACATTTAGTAAAAAAATTAACACAAAATTAATACGTTAATCGACACTGAAATATAAAGTGTGTTATTTTAACATTTACAAGTGTTATTTTGCCACCTATGTTGAATATCAATTCAACACAAAATATTGAGATAACGTAAATACAATATGTTAAAAGTGAAAACGCATGTATGTTATATACAACATATATATGTTATATACAATATGTTAGATTAACACACGGATATATTACGAATTTAACACAAAGTTTTAGCAAGGAGTTTTACGGAGGAGGATTTTAGTATAAGTAGAAAACCTTTTTTACTGTGTACGCATTTGTAATACGATGTACACGCAGGTACAAACGCTGTTAACATCGGGGCCACATTTCGGCCATATTTTGCGCGATCGTACACCCTCCTACAAAATTCTCTCCGCGTGTAGGGGAAGCCCGGGCGAAACGAAGTGTGGCGAACCGTCGTGACGCACCTACTGCCGTAAAAATTTCCCGTTCACCTAGCATTTAAGACCTAGACCTTCGTATGTACAAATGGATAGACTTTTGTATTCGGTACTGAGCATAGTTAGCGTACATATTACACATTATTAATGTCAGAATACTGTACACGATAGCACTTTCGTGAGAATCAAAGACTCGTACTGACTAGAAAATATTCAATGAAGTTCCATTAGACGTCCATCAGACGAAGGCGATGCGATCGCACGCCCGCACGTACGCACATACGCTGTTCTCGTTTGACGACGAGAGAGGCGAGGTTATCTGGCGTATCTGAGGGAGAGAGAGAAACGAACTTTGCGCTCGCAAAGTGACACTCAGACGTCTCTCTCTCTCTCTCGCGTTCCCGCGTCGACGTGCTCGGTCCGATCACGATGAAGACTTCGTTATCGTCTTTTCGTCCGGGCGACAGATTACGAGTGATAACGTCCGCGGCGCAGATCGTTCCTCCCGATCGTTGCCGAGCCGCGCTCGCGATCTTCGGTCTCTTGAACTTTCCATGCGGAAAAGGGAGGGGAGGAGGAGGAGGGGGACGCACGGGGGACGCGCGAGCTCGTCTCCGACACACACATGCGTCTAAAAACTAACGATTGTACATTTCCCGGGAAATCTCTGATCGGGGTCAGCTGAGACCCGACCTCCCGCGAAACCTCGCCTCGACCAGCCCTCAACCCTTGGGAAGGGCGAGGGGGAGGGCACTCCCGATTTCGTCGTCGTCGTCGTCGTTCGCATCCGAAGGAGACGATCCGTCCGTTCCCGTATCACAGTTTACCGAGATTATTCTTATGCACCGGGTCGATAGTCCGCTATTATGTTCTTCAGGAACGTGTAGATATCCTTGAAGGTTGGTCGCGATGTCTCGTCTCTTCTCCAACATGAACACATCATCCGATACACCTCCTCCGGACACATGGTTGGTTTCGGCAGGAGTACCTGGAAGTTGTTCGAGGAGGATCAAGAGGCGCGTCGTCGCTGACGGATTCTTAATATTTATTGTTCCGCGCGCGAGACGTACTTTATTTTCAATTAGCACGTTCACTGCCGAACTGATTTTTCATGACTTTTTCATCACGACGCGTAGGCCGCATACGTACCACGTTATCGGGAATAACTCGTTTTGCTTATAATATATACGTTAATATTTATATGATTGCTGAAAAATTATTATTGCCGAGAAAAATATGTGACATTCAATATACACCATAGAACAAACGCGCGCGCGCGCGCGCGCGTGTATGTGTGTGTGTGGTTGTTTAGAGAAATTTTATATTTACACAATTTATGCCAAAAAAGGAAAAAAATTATTTATTTCTAATATCGTTAATGTTTAAGATTGAAATACTATATTTATAGGAGGAAACAATATATTTTGATATAAATAATATATCTTCGAATAAAATATTTATAATTATAACGTCATATTGCGGTGTATTATGCTGAAATATGCTAAATATAAGTGCGACTTGTCTTCACAATTATTGCGGAACGTAGCTAACTTTTGTGGCGAAATTTCTTGCTGATATTGTATCGGGCTTTTCAACACTATTTCTATAGCAACACGGAAAAAAGGAATTAGCTGTCCATATAATCCAACTGAAATTTAATTACTAGATCTAGTTTTTAGCTGTGGTAGGCTAAAGACCAGATACGGGGACAAAAAATTAATTAACTAAATTTCAATAGTATTACATGGACAGCTAATTTTTACCGGTGGGCGTTAGTTTTTAATTGTGGGAGTCACTTCTTTTCTCCCGTGAAGTTTTGCAAAGTTGATTTACAGAATTGAATTTTGGAAGAATATCGAGAAAAAAAAACGATCATTACGCCGCGTAGGTCGCTTGTACTCCATGACGTGATAGCTGCATTTCCGCATCAACACATGATTATATGACATATTTTACGATAAGTTATATTTAAATGACGAGAAAGACATGAAACGGCCTAAACGGGAATTTTAACCGTAAGTAACGCGGCAGCAAACGTGTTAAGAAGAGATTTCGAAATCAGGTGTGGTTACGAGGAAACGCGTTAGAGAGCAGTAGTCGACGATTAGATTACGACGCTCACTTGCAGCTCCGCTCCGTAATACATATGCTCGGCGTTCTGGATAACTTGATCGTTAGACAAGTGTTGGAAGGGCTTCTCTCTGGCCAAGCTCATCACCTCCCAGAGCGTCACGGCGAATGACCAGATGCTGCTCGAACACGTGTACCTGTCCTGAAATTTCAACATCGTTACGTCGTCGCGTCCGGTGACTCACGGTCTTGATTTCAATGATACGTATACTGCCCGGATAACATTAAGACATCCAAAGAAAAAATGTCCTTTGACAACAAGACGTCTAAAGGACGTCTTTGAGACGTATCTTAACGAAAAGAAAAATACCGTCGTAATTAACAGAATTGGTCAATAGGACCGTAATTGAAGTGAACTTTTTCGATTCAATAGCAATATCGTTAATTGACTTGAGATTAATTGATTTGAATTATTGAAACAATATACGGTGTATTGATTTAAATAATATCGCCATTGAAACAAAAAGATTTACTCCAATTACGATGTTGACCGATACAACAGCATTTTTTTCCCATATTGATATAAACTGAAAAATGAGTTTAGTTAGATCTGTTACAATGAGAAGAAAGCACTTAAAAATTTATTTGTGAGGTATATTTATTTCATAGAAATAAATTTTCTGTGAAACAAACCTTATATCTCATAAATAAATTTTTAAGTACTTTTTTCCACAGTGTATCTGACAATAGATAACTAATAGCGTTTTCGTTAAGGGAAATAAGACTTCTAGTTCTCACGAATCAAATTTGGTTCTTATAACTAGAAATTCTGTTTTCTTCAACGAAAACGCTTTTGGTTGTCCATTGTCACGAAGATCCAACCAAATTAATTTTTCAGTGTAAGTGAGGTAATCACTGAATGATTTTTAATTATGTGATATTGAGGAATGATTGAGAAAACGATGATCGCTCTTACCAGCAAAATACTTTCCCACGGTAGCCACCGGATTGGCGCGGGCGGTCTACCCCCGATATCGCTGTAATCCTTCTTATAAAGATCACTGCACATCGCAATGTCGGTCACTTTGACGGCGTAGGAACGACCTACCAGGCAGTTCCTGGCCGCCAGGTCCTTGTGCACCAGATTCTTCGACTCGAGGAATCGCATTCCGGACGCTATCTGCGTTCCCATGTACAGCAGGCAACTCTGACTGGAAAGAATCGAAACTTATCGATTAAATTTTCTATCAAAGAATTTTGGTAGAGACAAACTCACACACTTTATATTTTTATAATGCTTTATATAACTTTATATTAATATATATAAATAGAACATTTAATATTCCATAGCAATTTATGTTTTATGCGAGATATTTCATCAGAAAACATATTTTACGGAATTAAAAAAACGAACGGAAGAGACATAATTAACATTTATCGATTAAATTTTACGCAGAGAAATTAATTAATTGCGGAAAAGACCGTATTTAAATGTTCAACAGTAAATTTTACGGAAAAAATTCCCGACTGAAATAATATTTTTCACAATATTAGCGTACTCTTTACAAAATAGGAAGGGATTATTATTCGGAATTGTAATAAATTCGAATCATTCGCTATATTTGCGAATTTGGTAAAAATGTCATGGTTCGTGTCGCGTATATCCGCCACGTAGTTAGTTACCGTTCTCCTCTTTTAGATTTAAATTCATCGGAAATAAAAATTGTCACCGGTATCTCGGTTATTTGTGATTCTGTTAAAAATAAATTTACAAAGAAGGATTAATTAACCTTTTCAGAGATGCTAACGTGTGCAAACTTAAGTACGTTCCATTTTCTTTTTTTAATGTGAACATTGTCGTCCAAATATAAATGTATGTTACTGTGAGTAAATATTCACCGCAAAATTCCACAGCAAAAAGAGAAGTCTCTTCATATAACTGGAAGATACACGGAAAAAAGGAAGCAGCCGTCCGTATTTAACCAACAGTTTCCTGCCATTTTGCAAACAACACGCAAAATTTTGAATTATTAATTATTAAAAATGGCCATATATGGAGACTTTTTAAATTAATAACTCGGAATCTTGCGTGTTGTTTGCAAAATGGTACAGGACTTTTTTATTCACTTCAATCCGTGCTACGTTCTCATTAAGTTTGTCCATGTTAATCTGAGACACCCTATATACAATTGAAATTTCGTCACGAGACCTAGTTTTCAGCCGTGGGAGCTAAAAACTAGGTACAGGGTGAAAACAATCAGCTGAATTAACTAAATTTCAATTGTATTATATGGACAGATAATTGTTACCCGTGGGAGTTGGTTTTCAGCTGGTAGGAGCTAATTCTTTTTTCCGTGCGTCATATTTCTGTCATTTTAGATTTAAATGATTTTCTTCCGATCTGAAATAATTGATTCCTGAAAAGGTGAAAGTGATTGCTCTGCGGGAGATGTTACCTGAGAGCTTTCAAGTTGCAATTCGGCCTGAGCGTTCCCGTGAGCGGTACACTGTACTGCAGGTAATGAGCGAGATCACCGAGCTCGGTGTACTCGATGATCGTCCATGGCACCGGCTCGACCGTGCACACCCCCAGAACTCGCGCCACGTTCGGGTCGGACAGGCACGACAGGAATCGCACCTCCCTCATCTGGTCGACCGCGTTGTTAGTTCGAATGTCGCTGGTGCACAGAGGTACACGCGCGACGACTAGTCGGGGAGCGTCAGACACGACCTCGTCCAGACCCACCGCTTCGCATATTATAGCCTGTAAAATAACAGTTCGGAACTCGTCTAATAAAAAAAAAAGAAAAGGAAAAATCCATGAACACATACGATGTCCCGAAAAAACAAAATTTTCAAATGCAAAAGGAGGAAAATAATTTGCTGAGATGCAAGTTTTCCGAAATATCGCAACACCAAAATCAATACGAAGCAGTCTCTACTGAAAAATAATACAGCTGAAAAAATACAGTTTTTACGAAATAATAAAAATAATAATAATTTTTCAGCCGGTCGCCTCGTTGCGCTGATTCCGTTGTTGTTATTTTTCCAAGCCATTGTATTCTTCAGTACCTCGAAAGAGTTGTATTTCGCGACATTGTTTTAGCGTTCGAATTTCCGGATGACGATTTTCCGAAAAATTGTGTCACTCCCGGCGGATTTCAGCGCGCTTTTCATTTTTTTGGAAAATGCATGTTCACGAGAAAATCTTACGAGCGCGATTCGCTGTTAATTGGATTGATTTTCGGTGTCGAGTTAAGAATGACGAGTTGCCGATGAGCGGATACGATAAACAGCGGTACGTCGATGTTCGGCTGATCATACGCGCGCGCGTTACTGTACATATCGAAGTTTCAAAGTATTAACACAACAAACATGTACATATTAGCATTGTCGAATGTTACGTATGTGTGCCGACGAGATAAATATGTAAATTGCGTTTCGCCACCACCCGCACGCCGCCCGCGATTAAGTACGAGCGATCCGTCGCTACGGTGCGGGCGTATTTTTTCCAGCGTATTCTTCAAGCGTGGACTGTCGTTTGAACGTTGATACGGTAGTGTCAAATTGTTCAAATTAGCGCTTGAGTCTCATTCGGATACGGCTTAGGGAAGTGGATGCGTTCTAAATTTTTCGAAATTGAAAAATTTCAAAACGAATGAATATTCATTCAAAGCAATGATAAAAATATATCATCATTTGAAATCACGAGAGTTAACGTCTAACTCAAATTTCGGATGGATTTTTAATCCACACGAGCGAATGATTCAATCAATTAGAGCGAATTTCGAGTCCTATCGGCTTTCTATTGACTCTGCAACTGATCTTCCGGACACGAATTGCACATCTTTCGAAACTAATCGTACTTTGTACTCTCTAAATTTTTTACGTTGAAATCTCGAAACGAGCGAGAATTCACTCGTTTGCGAATATCGCGAATTCGAAATCAATGCCCAATTCCAACTTACGGTGGATTTCTTAGACTCTCATCAATAATCATTAATTAAACTTGCCCCCAGTGAGATACTCCGATTCGAATTTAGAGTTAGATCTGAATTTATCCAGTCGAATCACAGGTGCAGCGCGAAATTCAGCTGAAAAATTCGAATCTGTACCTCTGAATGAGAACCCGACTCACATCGGACCCTTCGACTTCGAAGATAAAAAATGCCCGCAACTGACAACGGAGGGCGTTTAACCCAGTGAAAAGTCATTCGGCTCTTCGGATGTGACCGTCACCGTACTCAACGGCCGAAATTTCACCCGAGGAGATTTAGAGAGCGCGAATCCTCGCTCGAGCGCGACGGACGGGTTAAGGTGGTGCCGTATTCGCGCTCGTCGCGTAACGCGTTTCTGTTACGTGCGATTTTCATGGTCACGTGCGCTCTCACGAACAGTGTATCGTTAACAGTGTATCGTCCGCACCTCTCCTACGTTCCGCGAGCCGAGTTTCTCCGTCGTTCGCAGGCACTGTCGTGGTATATTGGTCGGCTCTATTTCCTTGCATTTGTACGGCTTGTTCATACTAGGTGCGATGTTCCAACTGACGACAGGCGCTGGTATCTGCAAATGAGACGCGCATTCTCGTTATATCGTCGCCGTTGCGTTTCTCCCCCCGCTCCCTCCTCTCTCTCTCTCTCTCTCTGTTTCTCTTTGTGTGCGTGTACGTCTGTCTGTCTCTTCTAAAATAAATTCTCTCGCGAATGCAGTAGTAGAGCGCGTAGAAATTACGATGGCTTCGCCATCGGGCCGAAGTCGAGTGAGTTTGAAGTAGCGCGCGCGCAAGTTTGGTTTTCGGTTCTCGCAGGGGGAACGTCAGCGTAACGCCGCTCGTACTTTCGCCTTTGGCCGCGCGCAATCAGTCAAATGTACCGTCAAATTGTACAACTAATATGTACCTTGTGCTTCTCCTTTGGCGCTGTGTGCCAGCGCTTCGAGTGAACCTGATCGACATCCCTTTGGTGATTGGGCGTAACCGCGATATTGAGTTTCCTAGTTGGACTGCTGTAACTTTGAAGGGTCCTGTAGTGCTGGGAATGACGAGCCGGCGAGTTGGTCGGCGATGAGGAGCAGCTGGACGGGCCGACCGTAGACTCCGGCCGCGCGTCCAGTCGCACGCTCTCTTCCGGTATTTCTATGTTCTGGAAATCCTTCGGGGATTCTGGAAAGACGATCGCGATTTTAGCCACCCGCTCGCGAGCCTCGCGTCTTCGAATCGCTCGCTCGTAGCGTCCAGAGCTCCAGGGACGATTGTGAAATTATTTCGGAAATCGGTTACCGACGTAGTTCCGTTTCCCTTGGAAAACAGGACTGGACTCTAGGGAATAATTGCACGATTCCGATCGGGAGCTTTTCCGAGCGGTTGAATGATAGGTGCTCGGAGCGGATATCGTGAAACTACTCGGAAATCGGTTTCCGAATGGCATAATTCTGCTTTCCCTAGGAAACACGGTAGGAACCTAAATAGCCGGACAAATTCTATGCGTAAATTCTGAGCAGAGCCTGCAACAAGTTCTTGATGCCAGGAAGGCAAATCCAATACAGAATCTGTTCTATCTGATTACGTTGCCAAACTGCCGTGAAAAATGCGCGGTTTCTGCTGCCAATCTGCTCGGATTGCGTGTCAGCTCGAATTTACTGTCAACCTGCGCACAGTCTGTGATTTGCTTAGTGGGAATCTAGGAAATAATTAAACGACTCTAATCGGAAACTTTTTCGAACAATTTTGTAATAGGCCTATTTTCTGGAACTTTTAACGACAGTTCCGTTATCGTTGCGCAAATGTAATGTAAAAAAAGCTGTGCAACGACAAAGTAACGATAACGGCGCTGTCGTTAACAGTTACAGAATACGAGCACAAGGGAGATATTGTGAAAGTATTCGAGAAGATTTCTGACCGGAATAATTCCGTTTTCTTTGGAAAACACGATAGGAATCTAGGAAATTGAACGATACCGATCGGAAATCTTTCCGACTGACGAGATATAATTCGCGTCATATATGCTGCACCATTCCCTGGATTGTCATTTTTTATCATTATACGATTTTTAGTCTTCAAAATGTATACGTAAGATCGAAAATTACTATATAATTATAAAACTATAATATATTATGATTATAATACTATCGTTATAACTGAAGTTGCTTCTGCAATTTTCAATTTTATGCGTTAAGTGTAAGATTCAAAATCGTGTAACTTTTATCTAGGGAAATGATACAGTGTATACGACACCGACTGTATTATTAAAAGGTCATCATCCTTCGGTAAATATTCATGGGCACTGAAAGGGCCTGAAGGGTCGCGGAGATAATCAAAGAAGAGGATGACATTATCGACCATTTCAGCCGTCCGATGTAAATACTTGGACATTTAGAACATAATGAAGCATTAATTTTATAATTTACAACCATCTTAATGTTTTGTCACTATGTATACTGACCTATAAAGAAGTACGTTAGATATTTTCGTAAAACTGCAATTCTGCAGTTATCATCCACGTTAATCCGACGCAAAATTTACCGACGGGAGATTATTAATCATTAACATTTTCCGTGTGCGCCAAACTCGACAAGGCTGATGGTATCTTCACTTTTACCTCGTCGGCAAATAGTTTCACGATACCTGCCCTGGGTTGACCGTCCTCTTTCGAGAACGTGTCGACACCTACTCACCGGAGCTCGCTACGATCGCATACGTGGACTTGTATTGAGGGCTGACGAGCGGCGAGTTAAACTGTTCCATCGTGAGCGACTCGTGCATGCTCACGTCTTCCGGTATGTCCGGAGATACGTGATTGGCGGTTTCCGCCGTCAGCATGCCGCCAGGCGTCAAATTCAGTAAGAGACCCTGTAAAAAGAGCAAGGAATTTGCCGTTCTTTATTTCTCGACGATAATTAACACCGTAGGCACGTGCAAAATTGCTTCGTCGTTTCTTTAAAGGAATATCGACTTGTGATGAGACACGAACACGAAGAATTATGAGGAATCATGGATTCTCGATACGCATTTTAACAGCTATGTTACGATAATTTTCGAAGACAAATTTTAAAATGAAACTGAGTCATCGAAATAATTTAACACATTGATTGCTGCGTTGATCTTTATTGATTATACGTAGGCTTAATTGATGGTTGAATTATTAAAGATATTGTAAATAAATTTAATTTAAGATGCATATATATATATATATATCATTTTGTTTCATCGGCTCTCTATTGGCCGTACAACCGATTTTTCAGATGTAATTAATTATACTTGATATGTGACTTTTAATGAAACATGATTTATCATAATTCGTCAAAGTCACCGATGATCATCACAGCGCTATTAAAATTTAACAAAATTTTCATTTGATACATTTTTTCATTAACTTTCTTGCAAGAACTGGCAATCTCGTTCTTGTCGCATAAAACACCTCGATTTCATACCTTCATATTGATGGCGAAGCCAAACGGATTTTTCAACACCGTTGGCGAGCTTTGTAATTTCTGCCGCCGGTTCAGGAATAAAATAATGAAGAAGACCAATAGAAGCAGCAGTATAATGGCAGTGAGCACACCGATCAGCACTTCCAGGTATTCCTGACCATCTCCCGGCGCTGTAACTATACAGATTTATAGGGACACACGGAATACGCGATATCGTCGTTAAGTCCACCGTGTCGGACCCGACGATGTCCCGTATAAAAAATTTCTTGGGATCCAATTGGGTAGCAATACGATTTCCCGAAATAACGATGGATTCCAGTTGAGAAATCTATGCAAGTTCTGATGAGAAGTGTAATGTTTCAAACATATGATTTTCTAATAGCGTATTCGATTTACTGACTCGACTTGATTTAACAGCGGCTTAATAATGGCTGCGAATACTAAAGTCTATAATATGCGTAATATCAAATATAGATTTCGGTGGAGGAGACTGGGACTAGTTGGCTAATTAATTATTTCTGTTGTTTTCGAATACATTGCAGAATCGAATAAATAGAGATTTCATAACTATCTTTAACACATTTGAAATATCTGCTTGCTTGATTCTGTAATCTGTTAGAAAATAGCAGGAATATTTGATTAACCAGCTTATCCCGGTCTCTTCTACTGATAACGATTAGTGGAACGCTGTTAAGTCGAGTGAGCAAATCAAATACGTTATAAGTGGCAAACAAACAGATTCTATTTGGTCTCACCTCCAATAATTTTTCAAAGATTTTTTCCAGACGGTACAAATTTCTAAAAGATATCTTAAAGATGTCCAAAAAATATGATATTTTTTGGATATTCTTAAGACATCTTTTAGAAATATACGCTGTCCGGATGGTTTCCATTTTACACTAGAATACGAACAAAGTACGGAATAAAAAAGAACAAAATATACGAAATATTAAGTATTTACATTTTACAAATGCATACGCGCTACACGTGCGCTATTAAGCATAGCGACGTTAAAAATATAACCCAATTTATTAACATCTTAATCTGATATTCGATCGAACTATCACTCGATTCTGGCGATGACAGTCGCAGGCGGCACGAAGCCAGCTGCGGCGTACAGTCAATCAGCATCGCGGAAAAGAGGCTTCATCCCATGTTTGGGGTGAAAATGGGATCTCCAATTGATATCGTAGTGGGATAGCCTATTTTGAAACAACTTCGGGTATTCTAATCGGATCTATCCTGTACAGTCGGCGTCATGAATGCTGTACCATTCTCCCTAGGTTAATATTACACAATTTTCAGCTTTTCAGCATGTACACATAAAGCTGAAACTATTATAATTAAAGCCATTATAACTAGAATTACTTCTGCGATTTTCAATGTGTGTGAGGCTAAAAATCGTGTAACTCTCCGTTTAGGGGATGGCACATCATGCCGACTGTACGTGGGAAAATCCGGGGAAATTTCTATGCGCGGTACAGCAGGCTCTGTCGCCGAAGCAGCCGGGCAAATTTCCCATTCTGGCATTCTAGCATCCTAGATCCACGGTACAGCTTTCTCAAAGCCGACGACTGAAATTTGAGGGGAGTCCTTCCTGAAATTCGCGAGAGAAGCGTTTCATCGACCGTAGAAAACGTGGCTGAGATTCGGTGTCTATTTCTCCTTCTGTCCGCCCGCTCGCTCACTCACTCGTGCGCCCTTTCTCTCCTCGTAACTCGGCGTTATCGATTCGCATTGCAAAAACCGCGCTTATCCCTCGTCGTACGCTGTCCGTGCCAAATGCCTCGAAGCTACGCGGCGGTATTACCGCGGTCTTTTTCCCCGACGATGGAAATAAATAAGTTCGTCGAGAGGGCTGGGCTCGCGTGACGATCGAGATCGGCTCGACGACGACAACGGCCGGACTTTTCTTCGATCAAGCGCGGGAATAAGGTCGACCGGTCGGCCGGAAAATCGCGTCGGCCGACGGCAACGGTAACGATGACGACGACGACTCTCTCGTTCGCTTAATTCGCGGCGGAAAAGAGCCGCGGGAATCGTCATTGCGCGCGACGGGGGAATCTGCGTTCCAAGCGACGCTTCCTCTTTATCGTGACGCGGAAAATGCGCAGGGAAAAACAATCGCCCGGAAGAAATGCTCGTGATCCCAACATTAACGTGTTAGGCGTATGACATCTACACGCGTTTCTCTTCTTTCGGCCCCCTCTTCGTCGTTTTATGCAATACCCCACTTTTATTCCTTTATTATTTAGAAACAAGTTTGGTCCGTGTGACCATTGCTATTATTAACCTAATCCAATGAGATAGCTCGTTTCCTTGCAGCAACTAGTCTACAAAGACAATAAATAAAAGTTGGTCATAATAAATCATAAAAGACCAAAAAAATATGCAAAAAACTATAATCCTTATAATTTCTTTCATGATATAGGTCCGAGAGACCCATGATGTTACTTCGATGTCAAGATCGCGGATGTTATTCTGCAGGTTAATTCCTATTCTCACTCCTACTAGAAATTGGACCTCGTGAGGGTCTAACCACGAGGTAGTAAATTTGCACCTAACGTCGTTACTAGCCGGTAATGTAACGCTCATTTCTCCCGGTGACAACATAACGGCTAGAAATAAGTTAGCTGATGTTTAAACAAACGAAATTACGGTAACGAGATGAAAAATCTACTAGAAAAATAATTAGTTGCCAGACATTAACGCAACACTCACTTCGGATTTTTGGAAGATTTTTACGAAATAACGTACTCCCAATTTTCACTTGCTATCTCATTTCTAAATATTACACAGCAAAATATTTTCTGTTAAAAACGGTCTACTGAAGTTTTACGTTATTTTAACACGGGGAATCTGAAAAAGTACACAAATATGCGTTGAAAGGTACGCAAATATAATGTTAAGACAAAATTTTCTACTATGAGTAATGGCGAATATACGAAAGCTAGATTATATACTTTAGAATATACAGTGCAATATATTTTATTATGTTTGATATGTAATGTAAGAAAAAACGGCTGGATCACAAGATCGATTCTATATTTTTAGCGAATAATCAGCCGGTAACGAATTAGTAACAAGCTGGCGAATTTAATCTGATCTGTACTAGTTAGCTACTAGCATTGACTCAGGCCGACTAGATACACTTTTACTCGAGATATGCGCCCCCCCCCCCCCGTTCTCTCCCCTGTATTTTCCGTGGGTTACTCTCGCTTCTTTTCCGCGGATCTGTCCTTTGTTTTTGAGGGAGCAACGGCTAACGGCATTAGGAGATAAAACTGTGGTCGCGGAGTCCCCGGCATTATGTGCGCGTATAGCATTTGAGCCTGTTATTATTACCCGCTCTCGACCCTCGCCCCCTCTTCATCCATTTCACTTGCCTCTTTTATCACACAATTTCTGGCTCTGTTTTCTCTCGCAACAACGTGTCACACGTTGATCGCCTGCACATCCGTGCGTTCGTTCTACTTTTCTATTCTTTCTTTCTCTTTTTGGGAGGGGGTCCAATCGGGCCGCGGCATATTATTCGGCTTATCGTTGCTTTATTCGTAGCCCCGCATTGAAGCGTATTTAGCGGATTCCGAACGGCGCCCGTATTGGCCCGATGGGATTTTTAGAACGCCATTTCCGACCGGGCGCAATTAAATTCGAGTCGCTTACTCCCTCTTTCTCCCTGTTTCCCTTTCTGTATGTCGGGGAGTGTATTTATTTATTTATCTTATTTAACCCTATTTGCACGCGCATGCGTCGCGAATTTTAAAGAGGTCGCGTACGTACGCCGACTGCTTGCCTTTTTTCAGCAACCGCTCAACTTGTCATAAAAATAAAGTAAAAATGCCGGATGAAGGGATGCGAAAGAGGGAGAGAGAAAGGGAGAGAGAGAGAGAGAGAGAGAGAGCGAGCGACAAAGTTTGCTTTTTCAGCGCGTATTTCTTTTATCCTCAAATTTTTAAAGAGCGCACGCTCTCGCGAATGCGATGTGATATTACCGTAATAGGTAAAGCCACTTTAGTTAATATTCGCGCGGATGCAAATGATTATTAGCGATAACAAAAATACGACGACAAGCGAAGCGCGGATGGCGGAGTTTGAGAATTTCGAACGAATTCGCGATATTCGCGCGCGCGTGTCTCCAGCTCTCTTTATTTTCTCGAACACGCGCGCCTCTACGTCTTTATTTGCAACTAACCGGAGAAAATATCTGTAATCAAGAGGGAATGAAGATAAAGGGTTCGCCATTCGCGCGCTCCATTAGAGATATGTAATTATATGAGAAGTCGAATTTTCTCTCTCTCTCTCTCTCTCTCTCCCTTCTTCCCTCTTCTTTCCTCCTTATAATTTTTCCGCCCTTGATTGCCCCATTTCATTGTCCCCTTTTTATTCTCTCTCTCTCTCTCTCTCTCTCTCTCTCTCCCTCTCTTTCTTCTTTCTTTCTTTCTTTCTCCTGCAACTTTAATCCTGTCTCCGCCGCGATGTCGAATCAGACGTCGACTAATCCGCATAATCGATCGCACGGATATCGGCGCTTGAATCATGAAAGTGCCGTTCTCCCCCCTCCCCCTCTCTCTCTCTCTTTCTCTTTCTTCCGGCTCTCCCGACCGGCGAGTCTGCGCGCGCAAAAAAATTGTCGCGTGCGCGCGTATGCAAAAACTATATTAGCGGGTACCTCGGGCGCGTCCTTTTGAATTCAGACCACCGTAAAGCGGACGCCCGGTTTACATGTTGTTTTTACCAGCCGCCACTTCCTTTTTCACCCTTTGCTCGCTCCCTTCTCTCGCCCGCCGTGCCATCTTTTTTCGACTTGGGGAACGCGCGTGCTGCTGCTGCTGCGTTCGCGGCGACGGCGGTGGACGATTTCGCGGCTGTTTTATTTGCGGAACCGCGCGCGCGTTCCTTTATTTATAACGGCGCACCGGCAAGGTGCTCGGTCTATTTTTTTCGACAGTGTGTTGCAAAGGTGGACTGCGAGTAAAGAAGGGGAGAGGGGGGGGGGGAGTAGGAGGAGGCAGGATTCGCATTCGCGGTGTTGGGTGTATCAGAGGAGCCGTAATTATGCCGCGGTCGAGCATTCTTCTCGGCGTCCTCCTCCTACACCACGTTCTCATTTATCCACCGCACTTCCTGTTATCTGTATCTTCCCCCTCCTCGCACTCTCCTCACCGCTCCTCCTTTCTCTCTCTCTCTCTCTTTTCGTGTTCTGTCTCCGCGATGGCGCGCTATGAGTTTTTTCCCATTTTTTTATTCTCGCCCCTCTTCGTACCGTAATTTCCCGCTTTCTTTCTCTCTCTCTCTCTCTCTGTGCAGCCGGCGCTTCTCTCTATCTATTCGGGTGACAAATTGTTACCTTTTTTTTTGCATTTTTGTTGGAACGCTTGACGCGCTCCGCGCACCTTTATCATACGTTTCGGGCGGCGCGCGCTCAAGAGCTAATGCGATTGTCCGCTCGTTTCGTTCGTTCGTTTGTCTTATCGGAAGTCCGCGGTGCTAGATTAAAAACTCGGCCGCGTACGTGCGAGTGTGTCACTAGCGTGCTCCGATTAAAAATACTTGTAATATATCCCCGTAGAGTATTTATACATCGCATTGTGTACACACCGTCTGCGCGTAATATTCCTGTCGATACACCGTGGACTTCCCCATTTTATCTCTTTCTCGCTCGCTCGCGGTTTTTAATTTTTCATCCGGATAAGCAATTCTCCCTTTGTTTACGTCCGATGGTTCAGGCGGAAAATGCGTGCTCCTGGCTTGCGCCACGGCCCGGAAAACGCGCCGTAGGATTTGTTGTCTCGGCACAAACTATCAGATATACGTAATTACGCCCGCGGAGTCGACCTCACTTTTCTNCCCCCCCCGGCCTCAACGGCGCTGCCCTTCTTAACCCGACTAATTGTTTACGTTACGAGGAAGTTGCTGCGCGAATTATAAAGTGCGCGACGGGGCCGTCTTCTTCTTTTCCTCCTCCTACTCCTCGGACGGCGGACAATGACTTTTTCCTAATCGCATCTACGTGGTAAAGAAAAACAGCTTCGTTTCGCTCTAACGACGTTAGTCATAAACATCGTAGCGCCCCGAAGCGAACGACTACGTTCTCGCACTCGAGGAGCCTCGATAAGATAGATTCGTCAAGCCAGTCGGAAACTTCAGCTTGATTTTCGGTGGATGACGTTACATACGTGTAATGTATGACAGCGACATGTCAGATTACAATAATGATAAATTCTTTGATAACACCTACACGGAGAAAAATTAATTTCTAGCGAAACGTTATAGCGGTCGTTATTGCGTTCGTTGCGACGATGTTAAAACTTTGTTGATATAAAGTTTTAAGATAGGGCAAGTAAGAACCCATGCATAAGTGTAATAGCGTATAACTAGAAAGCAACTGATATTTACATGTTTAATTGAAACGTTGCGTTTTGATTGAACGTCATTAGAGCCATGCTCTGCACAACTTTAGTTGATATTACGAAATTAGCGAGTTGTCCATAATTAGAGCAGGCGCAATTTTGCTGCCAGGGGAGAAAATGTTCTGCTGAGTGAATTTTGTCCTTAAGACACGTTAACTTGTTGCTAAAACGGAATAGTATATTTCTACATTTATTAATGTGTTCTTACAGCAAAATATAATTTGTAGATTGAACAAAATAGTTCAGGTAACGACAATCGGTATTCTTAACAAATCGTTTTATTGCTCGTATAGTAAGTGACAGATTTTGTTGCGATAGCATAATTTTTGCTGGGCCAGTAAATTATATTTTTCCATGTACTCACAGAAAAATGCATACTTTATACAGGTAAATGTTATTTGTTTTGAATATTTCATGAGTTTATGTATCTGGCAAATATAACAGAAGTTCATCATGATATCGAATTTACCCGAAATATATTTCAAGTCTTAATAGGTTTAGTATTTCAATCAAAGATATTAAATTAAAATAAAAATCGGATTATTTAAATTAACCAATTATTTAAATTCAACTTTTCATCGTGAAAGTTTTATAATATTCCTGAAAAGAGAGAACATAGATTCTTCTTTTCAATATGTGGCAATGAGCTTCTCTACAATTTGTGAAAACTATATTTTCAGACTATCATCGCGAAAATATTCTTTGCTGAAAATAACCATTACTTAAATTGGCAAGTGGAAACGGAGTAATCGTTTTTATTAGCAGCAGAATGGTAGTTTCCTGTGTATACATATTGCACGTTGATGGAAAATTATAGATAACAACGAGAATCATTTGATTAACAAATAATTGATCCTATTAAAAGCGATTGAGTCTAATTTGATTGGGAATTTTTAGACCGACTCTGATACGTCGGAACTTGATGCTCCAGCATTGAAATCAGAATCTCAACCGACGGTGTTTTCACCTCGGCGTGAATCAACGTAACGCAACAAATAATAAAGACAAGGAAAAGTAGCTCGAATTCTGGTACGCGAGGTCAAACACACAGCGACGTTTCAACGGAGCAAACGTATCGGCAACGTATCGCCGCGTAACATCGCAAAATAATTGAACTCATTTGCCACGTGAAACGCGTTATTCTCGTCGGATTACCTTACGGAGAGATCGATTAAACCAATTAAATCGGTTCGAATTTCTAAACGCTGTTAACTTCCCCGGTGGATACGAAGTCAATGGTAAAATTGACGTACGTGTGCGTGTGTACGTTGTGTTACGAACGATGAAAGCGCCGGCGAATTGTCAATAAATGATCGCTCTCACCCGCGGTCGATCGCGCAATTATTCATCGTGAGCCAATGATTAAGGACGAAATTAATTAGTGACACCTACGTCGGTGCAAATTCGGAGACAACGTGGAGCGAAATCTCGAAATAAGCACGAATAAACGATCACTGCCCAACTGTGTACGCGAGAAACGTCGTTGACGAGCGCGCGAATAAAACGCGAAATATCGAATGCACGAAGTGCTCTCTTTCTCTCTCCCTCCCTCTCTCTCTCTCTCTCTCTCTTTCTTTCCTTCTCCCTCGCGAATCTGGAGTCGTTTACTCAGAGACATGCGGTACGAGAAATGAAAAGTTTCTAGTGCCCGGCGCTTAATTAGAACGAGATTGATACGAATTAAATGCCACTCTTGCTTTCTCTCTTTCTCTCTCTCCCTCCCTCCCTCTCGCCGGCGAGTTACTTACTCGTTTGTAAGTTGAGATCCACTTCGGGGTTGACTGGAATTTCCCGGTTGCTGAACTCGGACGCCGCCTCTTCCGTGGTGTTTTCGTAGGGATTCGCTGAAAGCGGAAAATAGCTGTAGCTAATTAGAATCCATGGCGAATGCCGTGAGACTCGCGTGGGGATTCGCGACGATGAGAGCGGATAAAGGCGAGGATCATCGGCACGGTGAAAGGGCGCGGTACCTATCCGCTCTTTGAGATTCGTGCGAAGAGCAGAAAAGTGAAAGAGAGAGAAAGAGAGAGAGAGAGAGAAAGAAAAATGCCAGCGTCACTCGAGGTCACTCGTTAATCGCGCCGGCAACGCGGGTATCAAGAGCCTCGGATAGAAATGAATAAAACACCGTTATTTCTATTATCGCGTAGGAAACGCGGGGTAGGACGATAAAACATTTTTACGCCGCTCTCCCGGCGTAGCGGAGAATTACGCATTTCGCGCACATCCGCGAAAATTCAATGGAATTATCGCGAAGCGCGCGCGCGCCGTGTCGACGTCGTTAACTCAAACGGTCATTAGCGCGGTGAAATTGGGGAAATACGGGCGTGGGTGCTCGAGATACAAGAACACGCGGCGGTTATTAAAAAGGTAATTGAAGCCGTCGTCGTCGGGAGGGGGGGAATGCACGGTGGAGAGCGGGATAATCCTGGCGGAGGCATTATAACTTCGTTCATTACAAGATTCCTCGAAGCGTCCGCGATCCGCGAATTACGGTTAAGTGAGCGCGCGCTCGGCCCTCCACGTCGCCGTCCCCGGGTCAGTATGTAGGTCGCCGGCGGGGTGAGGCGCGTGTGTCCGAAGAAAGCCCGCGGAAAATCCAGAAGAACGTGACAAATTGTTTCCCGCGGTCGATGACGCCGCAAGAAGCTGACGGGAAGAAAGAGGAGAGGGCGGGAAAGAAAGACGGAGGGTGAGATAGAGAGTGACGCGTGGTCGGGGAGGGGCCGACCGGAAGAAAATTATTATCGCCGGGGGAGGAGAGACGCGGGGAGGCTCACTCGCGTCAAACATCACTTCGCTGATTATGATCCATCGCGCGGCGAAGTACAGGTGCAGCTTGAGCAGGCGGCCGCGTCGCCCGTGGAGACCGATCGAGACGTTCCGGGCGTTCTCCAGCACCAGGTCCGGTATGTAGGAGTAAGGCAACGGCTCGTCCTCGTAGCTCTCGCCGTCGGTGCTGAACCAGACGTCCGCCCTCGAGAATACCTGCGGCGCGAGCGGAGACTCAGAGACGCGTTAACGACCGTCGCCGTGATTGTGTCGCGCGCGGACGCGTTTTTGTAATCGCTTATTTCCCCGAGGGTGCGGATTAGCGCGTGGGAAATACTTTTATCGAAGGCAGAGGCAGGGAACAGGGTGAGGAGGGAATCAGGCGGTGGAGAATGTAAGAATAGAGGGGGGATTATAGGAGGAGCAGTAACTCTATTGAGAGGAAAAGCGTCTATAAAATGAAAAGTGTCCATTCGATGGGCGCTGATAATATATTTATTCGAAATTCAAATTCTTTCATTTGAATAGAATAAATCATTGCCTTCGTGAAAAGTTGCAGGTTAAATGTTATCATTTGAAAACAGATTTTCTCAGTTTAAAAATACGTATCTTGGTGTAAGCAAATATATTAGAGAAGAAAGTTTTCATGTCGAAGTAAGTTATATGATAAGTCAATTTTAATCTGCAGTTCACCGCTGCGTTTCTGACTACATTGCATTGCTGTCTTTCTTTCACAGGTATCTTCAGACGAGTAAGTCAACGTCAACGTCTATGTTAAAAATTCACGTTTATATTCATTGTTATTCCTTTTAAGAATTTATTTTGAATACATATATAATTTTGTAACGAAACTTTTTGTGTTATTTTAAACAAGACCAATTTTGTAAATCTATTTTATATATTTCGGGGCCACGTTATCACCCCTGTTTTTCTTCAGCCCGTTATACGGTATCGCTATTTCCATAATTAACATCTTAAGTAATAAATATTTCATTAACTTTGGGGCTAAAATCAATCGAACAACATTTAGACGAGTGTAATCGTTCAATATTCAATTTGAAATATTGATTGTTGATAAAGTTATTGTATAAAATGGGTGGTCATAATGTTATTCTTCTATTAATAATCATCTAATAAATACTTCTCATATTTTAGGTTTTTTTTCAATGTATTATCACCTTGAATATCTCCGAAAAATAATAATATTTTATTAACGATCGGATGAAAATGAAAGGAGTTTACATTTATACAGAAGATGTTCAAGTGATGACCATTGATAATAACGTAAAAGATTTCTGCTAGATAAATTTTTTTCCTTCTCTCGCACTTGGGAAGATATTCAAAATGACAATAGTTATCGTCTCACATTGTGATTCAATAATTTCCATCAATAAAAAGAAAGTGTCCTGTAAACGGGACGTTGGCCGCTGAGAAATTAACTCCGGGACATGTGTGTGTGTGTGTGTGTGTGTGTGTGTTTATGTTTATACATGTGCCGTATCCGCGCCGAAATCGAAACGAGAGAAAAATTAATAATGGCGTGGTCGATACTCTACTCCGAAGGTAACGGGAAAAGCGTGGCCGAAAAGAGAGGAGGAAAAGGGGAAAATGAAGAAGAAGTGGAGGAAGAAGAAGAAGACAAGAGTCGGATACAGTCTCGCGATACACATCCGAGTGCTTTTCTTCCTCTCCTTTTCCTCGTCCTCTTCTTCATTCGATGATAAGTTACCACAGAGATCACGCTTCTCTGATTCTACTCCTCTGGACTCGGTGCGAACGCGAGATACTATCGATCTCGCAATTTCATCGTCGCCGCCACCGCGAATGCAACGATATATATTCCTTTTAAAGATCACAGGTTGAACAAGAAGGCGGGTTATTTTGGAGAAAAATATCGCGGGATATTTTCGCGGAAAATGGAACACGAGAGGAAGAGAAAGAAAGGTTGTCGTCGGTTTCTCCCGTCTTACGCGCCGCGGAGTGAATATTAACGATACTCCGTTTTTAAGTATCACCTTCGCAGGTAAACCGGCGAATTTTTCCACACGATATTTTAGCGAGAGCGATTAGAGAGAGCGAGAGGGAGAGAGAAAGAGAGAATGTACCCTGACGTGTCCATGGAAAAATAGAGACTCGTGGGTTAAAACCGTTTTTATTCTGTTTTATCGTGCGGTTACATTCTCTCGTTTTTGTTACGTTGTTGGCCGATACACCTTGATATGGAAAGGTAAAAACCCCGCTTCTATATCGGAACGTACGAGGGCATTGACATCAAAGAAATACACCGCGCGCCGCGATAACTGCCGCTATCGGATCGGTAAATCGTTAATCGCGTCATTCGTAATGCATCATTCACGATCCGACGTTTATAAAACACATCTGTTCTTTTATTAGAAGACAATGTTACTCTCTCTGCCTCCCTCTTCCTCCCTCTCTCTCTCTCTCTCTTTCTCACAATCTCTCTTGTTACGCATATTCCCTTTTATTTCCGCGGATATATTATTGGGATTTTCTGATTGACATTTCCGTGCGAATTTACACCGGCGTGCAACGCGATCTCGTCTCGTTCGGATATCCAATTCGCCGAAAAACGGTGTGATTACTGTACAAATTTTATTAACAACATCAGCCCGGCACGACACAACAACGGCTTCGATAAGCGTACCCGCCAAATTTTCGTCGTGTCTTCAATCGCTTCGTCAATATTTCATATATGTTGAGATCGTGTTTTTATCCTTTTCTTTTTTCAATTCTCGTTTAATCCACTATTAGAGACTTTGAGATGCGTATATCGCACGTCACATGGAAAAATGACGCGCGCATATCGCAATTCGAAAAATGTTCTTTTTACGGACAGCGGATGAGATCCCAATAAAGTAATAGGTTCCAATTGCGAATTAGGACGACACGCGGTAAATATTGCAAATACAAATATAACATTTTTTTTCATTGAAAAGTGTAGTTCTTATAATATTAATTCGAAATTGCATTTGTCAGCTTGTGTGTCGCCCTCCTTCTCGATGCGACACGTCATATTTTATGTACCTCCTAGAATTCACATCGAGGTTTCGTATCGATCGGCAGAATCGCGCATTGTTGCAGCATTTATGGAAATTCAAATAATTTTAGCCCTGTCGTTCTGTTCTTATTTGTCTATTTGACGAGAAATCATTTTTATTCTCCCATTACATTTTTATGCGACTCGAGTGAGCGTTCTGGCATTTCACGACTTTGCTTCATAGCTCAAGAACATTAATTTGAAACTAACCTATGAAACAAAGTTACGAAATGCCAGAACGCTCGCTCACCATATAAAAAAGTAACGGGGAAATAAAAATGATTTCAAGTCAAATAGACCCGAACAGAACAGCCGAGTTAAAATGACCAATTTCAGAATTTTATTGCATTTTTCGGGATTGTTGGTTTTAGAATTATCAATATGGGATAACTTGATCGAGCGCGCGATGTGTGTGTGTGTGTGTGTATTTTGCCGAGTGTGGTCGTGTTGAACGTTCGGTTTCCTTCCTCTGCTTCTCCCTTTGCGAGGAGCAGCGCGAGAAAAAAAACTGTAGGAAAGCGGGAAACATGTTGCGCGCGGGAGCAAGTTGAAGATTACCTGCACGTCCCGCGAGAAATAATTGTTGGTATAGATGTGCACCGCCTCGAAGACTAACGTCGCTTCGAACTCGAAGATGAGCTCCACGAAGTTCTCGGCGAAGGTGTCACGCAGCCAAGCGACCCAACCCGTGCCTGTAACCAACGAGCAAGAAAATAACGCGAATCGAACAAAATACCGTGAATCGCGGCACTTGGTCGCTGCGCGCAAACGAACATAATTATCGCGGAGATTTATGCGCGGTAGTTTCACGGGCTTAATCTTCAACCAACGCGGAGGAGGAAGTTTTCAGGAGCCGATTCAAAAAGAAGAAAAATAAGAGGAAACCGACGTTGCGCTCTTCGAAGTCACGCGACGAAATGAAAAGGAACGTAATTAATAACATCTCAGCGGGGAAAATCGGATTCTTCGTTGAAGCAAGGGACAGTTTGAATGCAAACGGATCTTTATACAGTCGCCGCGTACACGGGGAGAATTTCCGTTGAATAATATATCATGCTGTATCGCGCGATGAGATTTATGCGTGCTGAAGTCAAAATTTATATTAGGCACTTGCGAGAACTCGCTGCACTTTCAACTATTATGATATATATATATCTCCGGACATTTCGAAAATATCTTGTTTTTGCACACAGATATTTCCGAAACGGAGATATTCGTTTTTAGAAAATAGATATTGTGGGAATAGAAATATTTATTTTTGGAAATAGATATTTCAAAAAATGGATTTTTCGGTTCGAAGAAACGAATATCTCTTTTCCTGTCTTTGGCGTATTTTTATTATTAATAGCGAAGTTATAATAACGAAGCGATTGTTTTAGTATTTGCTATCGATATCCATGATTTTTTACCACCTTTCAGGCAACTCTGTAACTCGCGTCTGTAAAGTGACGAATTTTCTCAGCTGACAAAATTATCAACGATAAGATGAATTCTCACAAGTCTCTAATATATTACGGCAATTAATTTGTGCATCTATCAGATATATTTAATCTAACTTTATAAAATTCTATCACACGTATAGTCGACGTCATGTATCGTTTCCTAGATTGAAACTTTTTATTATTACATGATATTTAACCTTTCATACATGTATGTATAAAATTGAAACTATTATAATTAAAGCCATCGCAACTTTACTATTATAACTAGACTTATTTCTACGATTTCCACCTTTTTGCGTTATATATAAGGTTCAAAATCGTATAACTTTCTGTCTAGGGAATGGTACAGCATACGTAACACCGACCGTACAAGGATATATCCCATATATCCTTCGAATGTTTCAAACAATATAAGTGTAATCCAACCGGACAAGATAGTATAATATTAGTTCCATTAGAAAGTACGGTTCGATCCAAATTTAGACATTTGACTTTGCCGCGTTCAACGAGGACAAAAATTATTCAACAACCAAATAATCTCCGTTTATGATCTTTTGCCAATGTTCCGGCTCAGCATTCGAATATCTTTATTCTAAAAAATGACTTATTACTGCAGAATTCAGAACATCGAACCGAACTTTCTGATTGATCCGATAGAGGAAAAGCACCAAAACCGACGTACCACTTTGTTTTTAAGCTGTAAAATCCTCGATTGAAAATGTAAAATTAAAATTTATGTGCGTGAATATAAGCCAGTAACGCTCCTTTACCAAAATATATGACAGTCCTATGAAAATTATTATATATTTCTTGGAAAATAACTATTTTTTAAGATATTTGTAGATTAACACTTCTAGAAAGTAGGCCGTGAAACTGATATACCCATGAGATATAGGAAATTATCAAAAAAGTAAAATAAAAGCATTAAAATTATATTATTTGTACATTAATTATATATATTTATATGTTATTATTAATTTTACAAATGTTTTAGAACCTTAAACAAATTTTATATTATATATTGCTCCTTTATATCATGTGAAAAGGAATCTCATGATCCTTTCTTTTCCAAATCTTAAACAAAACAAACAGAGGAAAGTTAACCACCGGTAGCTTTAATTGTAAAATAATATTTTGCAGTAAAGTTCAGATATACAAATATCGGTTGAAAAAGACCAGTAAATTTAAGTATGTAGGTAGGCAGAACGACCTAACCCTGACTTTCCTTGCGTGATTCAGTAACATAGCATAGATATTATTAAAAGAACCAAAGCGAACGGGAGAGAAAGAGAAAGAGAGATAAAAAAAAATTCAAAACCTACATTATAAAATAACACCGTCAAATAAATTACTTACAGCTGACCTGACATTTCAATATTCGCAAGAACGTAATTCAACAAAAATCTCAGCGCAACGAGAAATAAAACGAACGCTAATAGCACAACCGAACGCGCATGCAAACAGAAACTGCCACTTCGGCTCGAACTACTCTAAACAGTATACGAAATTCACGTTCCGTCCGACACGATTCAATATTTCACAGCCGAGAAACATGGGTATGTCTGTTTACCGTACCTACGTTAGTTTTGCCGCTATTCCTCCACTTCGTTCGCCCACGAGCATTTTCCCCGAAAAAATATTCCCTCCGTGCGATCGACGACACGAGATACATGACTTTTTCGAGACGGAGGCAGCGCGGAGCGCGCGATACCGCCGGATCGAGAATCGCCGGGGCGCGGTTTCTCCTTCGGTTTCGCGCTGTTTAGCGCTGCCCGCCGCCTCCACGCTCGAATCCAACCCTGACGGGATTACCTTTTCCGTCTCCCATGTCCTGCCTGTAATTATCCGCGCCGACCTCGCCATCGATTAGACAGCCCAAGCCATCGGTCAACAAGTTGTCCTGCCTCTTACCGTCGTACGAGACATCGCTGAGCTCCGGCATCGAGGTGTCCGGGATGCTGTAGCTCACCACACCGCCTGGAAAACACACGAAAGTTCCCCGCCTGTGAGTTAGACACTGCGTGTGTCGACGCGACAGTGTGGAGTTTTCTTTTAAAACACCCACTCGTCCCAACGAACTTCCGCCGTCGCTCGCGCGCGTGCGCGCGCTTTCGCGCCATTACCTCTGTTTTGTCGCTCTTTTTCTTCCTTCGCTGCCCTTATTTTCCCCCGGCCCTCCCACGTCGGCTAAATGATTTCGTTGTTTCGGTAATTCGGAGAGCGGAAGTATATAAAATGAGAGCGACACTTCGACGGAGGTATTTCGCGCTCTCGCGCGGAAAATCGCGCTGAAAGGATCCATCGCTTCGAGGTTTCGTTTGCGCTCTTCTCTCCTTTTCCCCGTTTTCTCCGTGTGTCGTGCGTGACCGTCGTTAAGAAGGGGGGGGGGTGGAGGCAGGGGTGGCGGGTTGTTGTCCTCATCGTCTAATTACTCGATCTCTCTAATTATTACCGCTGCTGCCGGAGATAAGAATCGCTGGGCAGAGAGCTTCGTCATTTTCAGCCGAAATTTCAGCGAGCGTATTCCGCGAGCGAACGGCCGACACTTTGCTCCAGTTCCGCGGGAACACTTCGAAAATGAAGTGGCGTCGCTTAATAACGCGCCGCGAGACGCCGGCCGAAGGCGACCAGGAGCGAGAAAGAGAGAGGGAGAGGAGAAGCTTAGTTGAAATTAATCAATTAAAATTAATTAAAACGACTTGGCCGGAGCGGCGACGCTGATGGCGGCGGTCGAGGCGGACGTCGTCCGTAAGGGAGGACGGACGGCTGAATTTTCGTTGCCGGGGAAAATTAATAAGGGAGCGCAAAAATGGCGGTGCGCCCACTTCGCCCATGTCGTGTTCAAAATCGCTTAACTACTCTTAATATTTCACGGTGTACACCGCGCGCGCGGGCGCCCGGTGTTTGTCACGCGATGCGGTCAAGCCAGTTTTGGTCAACGTACCTTCGCCTGATTCCGTGTCACGTGGATGACGCCGAGGCAATAATTTTACTTAGAACAACGTAACGCCTCGTCGCCATGCGGGGCCCGGCTGTACCGCAGCCGGTGGCGTTCTCGACCGACGCACGCACACACACACACACACATATCGGGGAATTGTGTACGATCGTACGGTATGAAAATAAGAAGCCGACCTCGTTCTCGAATACAACGGTCGTCCTTTTAATCGAGATACGAGATATCTGCGCGCTGCCGAGGAAAATCTCAGCGAAGAAAAAAATCAGAAAGAGAGGGGAAGGAAGAAAAAAGAATAACGTAACGTAAGAGCGGACGAAAAAAGCGCGATAAAACGTGTTGCTGGCTCGGTGCGCGTTGTTATAAAAAATCATGCATCTCGCGTTCGTTATTGGATTAATATAGATTCTGTGTGTGTGTGTGTGTGTGTGTGCGCGCTTGGGTACATTCGAAATTGTACAGTCGCGGCGCGGATGATGGGCGAACGATAAGGTGGGTAAACGGCGAGGCAAATTAATTCGCTCCTCGAGCGACAAAGCCGTCGCTCCGCTCCTGTCGTGCGCGCTCGACGGCGCTCGTCACGTGCGCGAGGATCGTTCGTGTAAACTGGCGAACATTTCAGCGATGTGTCGCCGATACCTCCCTGCCATTTTTGAAGGTACGCATTAAGAGACGCTGTACTTCTCTCAGCACGCGTGAGAAACATTGCTCTTACCGCGGGGCCGCTCTACTCTGTAATCTGGCAATCCGCTAATCTAATCGCCGCCGGCGATCTCCCTGCCCGCTCGCGCGGCCCAAAATTATTGCGAATTTTCATTGAGATCGTTAGAGCGATCTTCGGCGCGACGTGCAATTCCTAACAAGCACGGCCTAGAGATATATTGCTCCTCGCAGCCGTCCGGCAAGGGAAAGGAAACATCCGTTTCGGTTTTTAGCGATTTATTATTATTTTATTAGTTGTTTATTAGTAGAAATAACCGGGCTATCGTGGTTATTGATTCCGATGTCGCTGCAGATAGAAGCTGGAATCATCGATTTCGATATTCAGATAAAATGTGCCGCGAACGAAGCTCGCAATTCTGGCAAATTTATAGAATATATACGCAGGGAGAAAAATAATTTTGCTGTCGCAGCGAAGCCGTCGTTGCTACTGCATATTCGCTGCGACTGCGATAAAATTTCGTTGGTATAACCAAATTAACGAGTTATTCGTAATTAGAGCGGAAACAGTTCCGTTGTCAGGATGGGAAAATTCTGCCGGGTAAATTTGTCCTTAGGACACGTTGAGGAGGTTGTAAGGTGAAGCGAGTTTGATGAGAATTCAGTGAAGCTTAAGTATACGTGCATAGAAAGAATTAGCAGTAGGAGTTAAATTAGGGACAATTACTGTACCGTAGCTAAATTCATTAGCTGTTCGAACTAAGATGCTACGGCGAATAATATAAATACACCTTGCAGCAAATACATTGTAATTCTAATAGCTAATGTCGTTGCTACCGCAGCTGAATTTATTAGCTGCGACATTAGCTGTCCCTAATTTAGCCATAATTCGATTTTAGCTCCTGTAGCTAATTTTTCCTTTAAGTGTACGTCGAAATATTATCTAGCTGCTCATGTAATTAGAAAACGATTGGCTATTCGAGAGATGAGATATTTGCAACGTTGAAAAACGTAAATCTTCGGTCTAAAGTTGACACCTTTTATACGTGTCCCTTGAGATTAGTGTGCTATTTTTAATTTCTTTTTTTAATATCTTCCAAACTAAAAATAAGAGCTTGATGAAATCTACTTAAAGACTAATATGTAGGCAGTATACATAAATTTCAGAATTATTAACCATTTTAAAAACACAGCAGTGTAAAATTCATAATTTAATGTAATACTGGAAATACGTATACATACGTACATATTTAAACATTCATATATCGCTTTCTATTATATCTCTACTAGATCAACTGATGCATAAATGTAGCGACAATACGAAAACTAAAATAATATAATAATATTTTCAGATTTGTAATATTGTATGGAAACATTTCTTATTTGGATAGTGAAATAAATGTATAAGAACGTAATTTTGTTTGCGTGATACTAAATTTATGAGTAATCTTAATGCGCCGCTGAAAATACGACAGTGAACCTTACAACATTTTTAATTTGCTGCTAAAACAAAATAGTGTTTTCCTATATTTACTAACTTGTTCTTACAACATTTATCATTTGTAGACTCGTCAAAATAATCCAACGAATGGCAATTAGTATTCTTAACGAATCGTTTTGCTGTTCATATAATAACTGACAGATTTTGCTGCGACAGCATAAAATTTGCTGTGCCAGCAAATTATTTTCCTCCGTGTAAGAAAATATGATGCAGAATATGTACAAAAAATATAAATTAATTATTATTAACAGACTGAATCGTACGTAAAAATCATAATTATTGATTTTGATATATTCAGACAAAACGCAAAAGAGGTTTGCAATATTTTAGCATTTCAACTCCGACAAATTTGTAGAGGACAGAATAACAATATGATAGAATACATATAGCGGAACATGTGATGGAAATAAATTTTTCCTAATTAAAATACCGAGAAATATCACCGTGTATATCGAAGATTTTTCAACGTTATGTATTTTGGCAACTAAGCTTCGCGAGAAGCTTCGGATTCAATTAAAGTAAAATTCACGTATAATTAGCAGCGGAGTACGGGGAATTCTGCGACCGTCTCCATTGAAACTGCACATCTTTATGTAGCCAAGTTCCAAATTAAAATTCTATTAAAGCAAAGTCCAACCGTGAAATTAGTCGAAGGAATATAATTCCGCGTGCTATCTGCCCTCCTCGAGCTTAGAGTTCGCGAATGCCTTCTGCGATCGTTTACAGCGCCGAAACTGCAAAAACGGAGAGGGATCTCGAATTCGTCAGTGAATTTCTAATTAAAATTCCGAATGTGCGGGACATCTCGTGTGTAAAAACTACAAAAATGCCCAAGGGACAATTCTCATCTCGACGGGATAAGACAAATGTCACCGATGATGACTTCGCGACGTGAGTTGAAACCCTCTTTCCGTCGTCGAGGCGATCCCACTCTCTCTCTCTCTCTCAAAAAAAAAAAAAACAATTAATCAAAAGTCAAAGGCAAAATGATTTGGCTTTTTCATTAGATAATTCGCCGTACGCGTCGTCGTGGGTGATTCAAGTAACCGCGAGCAACATCGTACTTTCGATTAACCCGTACCGAGCCGAGTTTGATTATCCTCCATCAGCTGAGGTTTAGCACACTTGTATTCTGTCAAACCGCGAATGTCAATACCAGGAGGACAATGTCGTGGATTCTGTACCCGCGCTGACCGGGTCGGCCCCGTGTTGCCCGCGATTCCAGGAGTAATCGTTCGTGTTCACCCTGCCGACTCGGCCGGAGCAGGGCATCAGCGTTGTTTTAACCAGATGCCGTGCACGGCCGCCATAAATCCGACATACCCGCCCAGTCGGGCTCGATCTCACACGCTCCGAATACTTCTTATAGCGCGCGAAAGCTCTCATGTCGCCGTTTTACCGGCTCCGCTCCGCGCCACGCCGTTGAGGCCTCGTACATACGTCACCGCTTGAACGCGCGCTCGCTCGCTCGCGCTCGATCTCGCGTTGTTATTGAATTATTAGCGACCTAGAAAAATTATTTATGCGAATATTCTTCCTCGCGCACTCACTCGCGCGCGCGGAGTCTTAACCTCCTCGATACGGCGGCTGAGAGCCGCGTGAGGTAGCTTGAAAGCGTTTGTTCTTGCGCGACAGTCGCGGACGTCTTCGTGTGGGAAAAGTCGTGTCGCAAAATTTGCTTTTATTCGTACCGAGAGGTCTCTGTTACCTATAATCAACTATAATTTCTCTCCTCTCGCTCTTTTACAGTTTCTTATAATTAATATGTACTGACGTAGAGAGAGGGGGAATATTTAAATATCTTCTTTGTTTTTAACGATATGAGATATATTTAGAGCACAATTTGAATAGTGCAGAAGG